AGGAGACATAGAATGAGAAAGGAAGAGACCCACAAGGTATGAGGACGAGAGAAAGGCAAGTCTTCCCCTTCCCCTATTTTTCTTTGTATCTTTCTCTTTCACCTCCCTCTCTTTTCTCTTTCGCTTTCCCTTTGTTTGTGTTTCTCTGTATCTATCGCTCATTGCATCACCCTCTTTTTCCCTCCTTCCCTCTGTCTCTGTTTCTATCACAAGGACGAAAGGCGGGTAAGAGTGAGAGAGAGAAAAAGAGGAAGTGCAGCGAGAGTCGCTTTTCTCTTATACTGAGCCCTTGTGTGTCGCGTTTCCCTCGTCCTCACCTTTCGTGGGTCTGTCACTTTCTTCTTTCCCTTTCCGTGTCGCCTTTCTCTCGTCCACAGCCCTTGTGAGAGACAGAAAGAAAGACAGAAACAGACACAGGAAGACAGGGAGTGAGAGACGGAGAGACAGAGAGAGGAGGGAAGAGACGTAGAGACAGAAAGAGACGAAGAGAAAAAGAGAGGGGGGGGGGGGAACTGACAGAACGACAGAATCAGAGACAGAAAGACAGGGAATGAGAGAGACGTGACAGGCAGACATAGACTCAGAGAGAGAGAGCGAGATAAGGTGGGGGGAAGAGAAAGAGGAAGAGGAGGGGAGGGAGAGAGAGAGCGCCACAAAGGTTGGGGACGAGAGAAAGGCGACTCTTTATTTGAGTGAGAGACCCACAAGAGCCGAGGACAAGAGTAAGGAGACTATCGTCTTTCTCTCGTCCTTGTGGGTTTCTCCCTCTTCCACTCTCTCTCTCTCTGTATATGTATATATACATATATCTATCACTAGATATATACAATTTTATATATATATATATATATATATATATATATATATATATATATATATATATATATATATATATATATATATATATATATATATATATATACACATATATACACATATTCAGATACAGGTATACATTGTGTGGATGTAAATGTTTATATGGATATGTTTGTGTAAATATATATTAATTTATATATGTATATACACATATACATGTTTATATATAATCATAGACACAAGCAAATGCACACACATATATACATATATTTGAACATTTGTATGTTTTTATGTAATATATATACATATACATTTATGATTAGGAAGGACATCCAATCAGGTATGGTTGGTATTGCCAAATGACTTCTTATTAATAAATATGTGGAGGAATGGTTGATTTTTTTATATATATATATACGTATATATGTGTATACACGAATATGTATATATACAGTAATAATAAGTAATAATATGTATAAGCCGATAATGTAAATAGATATAGATAAAAAAATGTTGATACAGGTAAATTGGTATACAGATATAGATCTCTCTCGCTTTTTTTTTCTCGTGCCCAGCCCTTGTGGGTCTGTCTCTTTTACTGTATCTTTCTCATTCCCTCCCTCCCTCCCTCCGTTTCTCTGACTCTGTCTTTGTGCCTCTGTCTCTATATCTCTCTCACAAGGGTTGAGGACGATAGTTATTGGTTAAAAGCAAAATAAATGTGCTAGACATCTAAGGTCATTTAGCACTATAGTAAGGGTGGTTGAGTTAGTGATTAGTTGCCAAAGCTGGGCAAAGGAATTGACGAGTGAATGAGCTAAGGTCGGATAAGGTAGTGTAAAGGGGTTAGATCAAGTGAAGGATATATATTCGTTTGAGGAAGGAAAACAGGCTGTCAAAGCAGAAAGTGTGAGATTCTGTAAGGATGTCTAATAGGTTGGGAGGTCGGTGAAGGGAAGGTAGGTTGGGGAAAGCAGAGGTACGGGCTGCATCAAAACATGGGTATGACAATATAATGTATGGAACTGAACGAAGGACATTACATAGGGAACATAGGAGTGGATAGGAGTGTGTTAAACGGGTGTGGCCAATGCGTAAGCGGGCGAGAGCCGTCTCCCAACGTCTGCTCTGATGAAATGGAGCTGACCAGGAGATTGAAATTACAGTATGTAATTTATTAATGCGGAGACTTGTCCAGAAAGATTACCATCGGGTATACAAGTTCTTAAAGTGGGGGTAATAATCCTTGGCTGGTATGATGTGGACATAGCGGCGTAGCGTGCTAGAGTATCTGCCTGTTCATTGCCGGGGATTCTAACATGGCTGGGCACCCAGGAAAATTTAATTGTTCTGGATCTTACAAAAAAGGGGGATTTGGTCGTGTGTATTGACTTTATGAAGTGAGTTACGGGAGTCAGTAAAAAATGTGAAAGAGGAAGAGGGGAGTGAATATGTGTTTCAAGGCAAAAAAGAGTATATACAGTTCTGTAGTAAGGGCACTGGATTCAAGAGGGAGGGGGTATTTGAAAGTACGAGAACTGAAAACCAGCACCGGAGGTGGACTTGGAGCCATAAGTGTAAACATGAATACTGGAAGAATGGTTGGAGATAAGGTCAAGGAAATGGGTGAGAAGGACAGCAGGAATATTTGATTTTGGTGGGTCAGGGAAAACAGAGGAGCAAATGCGGGGTATAAGACATGGAGGGACAAAATGGATAGAGAACGGGAGAGGTTGGAGATGAGGAAAAGGGGAATGGGAGAGGAGGGTATCCATGCGAGTGGAGAAAGGAGCAGGTAAAGCGTGGAGAAGCAAAGGTAGGAAGTAGGGATCGTGGGATAGTTTAGTGAGGGGAAGTTGGTGGAATCGAGCATAACATTGGAGAGAGAGAAGGGTATGGCGTCGAGAGATGGTTTGTATCAAGATGGGCTAGTGTATCTGCCTGTTCATTGCCGGGGATTCCAACATGGCTGGGCACCCAGCAAAATTTGATTGTTTTATGGCGTGTGGACAGGTAGAACAACCAGTTCTGGATCTTACAACCAAGGGGGTTGGTGGTGTGTATTGACTTTGTGAGAGTTAATGAATTACGGGAGTCAGTAAAAATTGTAAAAGAGGAAGAGGAGAGTGAGTATATGTGTTTTAGTGCAAAAAGGAGTGCATACAGTTCTGTAGTAAGGACACTGGATTCAGGAGGAAGGGAGTATTTGAAAGTACAAGTTGGGAAGATTACTGCAAAACCAGCACCGGAGGTGGATTTGGAGCCATCAGTATATACGTGAACACTAGAGGAATGAGTGGAGACATGGTCAAGCAAATGGGTGAGAAGGACAGCAGGAATATTTGATTTTGGTGGGTCAGGGAAAACAGAAGAGCTAATATGGGGATGAGGTATAAGCCATGGAGGGACGAAATGGACAGAGAACGGGAGAGGTTGGAGATGGGGGAAAGGGGAATAGGAGAGGAGGGTATCCATGCGAGTGGAGAAAGGAGTAGGTAAACGTGGAGATGAAACTAAGGTAGGAAGTAGGGATTGTGGGATAGTTAGTTTAGTGAGGGGAAGTTGATGGAATCGAGCATAACATCAGAGAGAGAGAAGGGTACGACGTCGAGATAGAGATGGTATGCCTGATTCAGTGTACAGGCTCTCAACTGGAGAGGAGCGGAAGACGCCTAGTGCTAAGCGAAGACCACAGTGATGGATTGTATCAAGATGGGCGAGGAGAGAAGTTGAGGCAGAGAAGTAGATATGGCATCCATAATCAAGAGTGGATTTGGTATGGATGTGCCAGAGGCACCTGGTGGTAGAACTGAGACATCATTAACAGCAAGAAGGAATAAAGTGGTGCTGAGCACACTGCCTTGTGGGACACCATCGATTTGAGGAAAAAAAAGATGTGGCAGAGGCAATTTTGACCTGGAAAGTGCATTGGGAGAGGAAAGACTTTATGAAAACACCCATGTTTCCACGTATGCCTAGAGAGGACAATTGTTGGAGAATATGGTACCGCCATGTCGTATCATTAGGCTGCACGTTTTAAGCGAAGTGCTTTAAAGCAATCAGAATTTCACCATGGAACATATTTGGAGGTATATGGTCTTGAGGTTCGAGGGATAGCTGTATGTGCAGCTCTGAAATTTCTGAAATGGAGGTGAGGGAGGATGGAGGTGTATGAATAGTAGAGAGGGAAGTGAAAGTATGCCAGTCGGCTCTATCAAAGCACCAGCGTGGGGAGTGGTACGTATGAAGTAGGAGAAAGGAGAACTAGAAAGTGGTCTAAGACTGACCAGTGGAAATCTAAATGAAGAGAAGGTGAGCATAGAGAGAGGTCACTGCATGAAAAAGGATGGAGAAAGATTTGGAGGTAGAAAAGCAGAAGCCATAGTTTGTGGTCCCAAGATACTGATGATATTGCAGACTGAAGAAATTGGCAGAAATTTGGCATGGAAGTGCAAGAGGAATAGAAGGTTTAATCAACATATAGTGATGACTGGGCTCCTGGTGGTAGAGCTGAGGTAATGTCATTAACAGCAAAAAGGAATAAAGTGGTACTAAGCACACTGCCTTGTGGGACGTCTTCAATTTGAGGAAAGAAGAGGCAGAGGCAATTTTAACCTGGAAAGTGCGTTGGGAGAGGAAAAACACTATAAAGACACCCATGTTTCCGCATATGCCTAGAGAGGATAATTGTTGGAGAATATAGTACTGCCATGTAGTATCATGCTTTTTTTTTTTCGGGGGGGGGGGGGGGGGGGCAGCGGAAACCAAACTTGGAGAGAGAAGATTGAGAGATTCAAGATACCAGATTAAGCGGAAGTTAACCATTTACTCTAGCAGTTTGCACAAACAGCTAATTAGTGCAATGGGGCGATATTCTTGAGGGAGGTTACCCGATTTATTGGGTTTCAGGAAGGGGAGGATAAATGCTCGCCAATGAAAAGAAAAATGTCCTTATGTGGTTGTAAATTGTCAATAGGAAGGATAAGTAGGATAGGAGTTGCTGGAGCATACGGTGGTTCAGAGGAAGAAAAAGGAGCGCTATAGGACTCAGCAGAGGATACAGTGAAGATAATGGGGGTGCGTTCCCTGATGGTCTTAATAGAAGAGTGTGGAGAAAGGTGGAAACCACTACTGACCTGGCTGAAATAGTCACCAGCTCATTAGCGACTTGGAGAGGATTAGAGATGAAGGTATCTCGAATATGGAGGATCTGGTGGGGATGTTTGCCTGTTAGTTTACGGATTCAGCGCCAAACATTTGAGATAAGTGTAGAGGATGTAACTGAAGAAACAACTTTGCCAGCTATTTGTTTTACTATTCCGGATTGTAAGACATAGAAAAAGCGAATACTCTTAATGGAAAAAAGGGCTGATAGTTGATTAGGGGTACCTCGTTTGTAGCGGTAACTGTTTCAAGCTGCACGATTTAAACAAAGCACTTAAGTGCAATCAGAATTCCACCATGGAAAACATTTGGAGGTATCGGGCCTTGAGGTTTGTGGAATAGTATGAAACATTGTATTATATCTATAATGGATGAAGAAGAATATGAAATGCAGAGAATGAAGTGAAAGTACGCCAGTAGGCTCTATTAAAGTTAGGAAGTGGTACGTATGAAGTAGGAGAAAAGAGAACTGGAAAGTGGTCTAGAACTAAGCAATTTAAAGCTAAATGAAGAGAAGGGAAGCATAGAGAGAGGTCAATGCATGAAAAAGATTGCATGCATGGGGCAATCTGAATTAAGAATGTTAGCTGTGGAGAGGAAGCGCCCTAGGGATTGGTCACAGGAGTTGGTGATAAAATCACCCCAGAGTAGCGGCACTTAAATTCACCAACTATGAGGAAAGGTTTGTTGTTTTTGAAAATCTAATTTCCCAACACCAAGTCAGTGGGATGGGAAGGGGAGCAGAGTGAAATCCCTGATCCAGCGGCGAAGAAAGATGCAAACTGTGCAAGGGACAGTGGCTTGAAAGGGAGGTATGACATAAGGTGTTTTCTAATTGATAAGAATAGACGAGACAAAGGGAGTGTGGGGAAGAGAGAAAATGGTAATTGGGCATTGGTATAGGAGGATGTGTAAGAAAAGTCTCTTGAAGGCATATAATGGATGGGTTATAAGAGCAAAGAATATGACAAAGCTTAGGTCTGTTAGAACGGAAACCACAAATATTCCAAATGAAGGATAATTATACTTTCGTTGATTTATGAGTGATGACACGGAGAATTTGAAGGGGAAGGAGCTAGAGGGTGGGATAAGGAATGAGAGGGAGAAGTTGGTGTTGTATCAGGTGTAGGGTCTGGGGAAGGGGATAGTTGTGATATAAGGGTTACATATGTAACCAGGAGGGAGTGGAAGGATAGAGGGGATGGAGGGAGGGTTAATGTAGGTGGAGCTGGAGTTGGGGTGGATGGGCTGTGTTGGGAGGGGGTAGGAAGATAGGGCGTAGGGGGATGAGTAGGAGGATGGATATCAGCAGCCCCCTTGAGTGTGGAGGGAGTGGAAGTTATGGAATTTGAAGGTGGACAAGGGGCTTCAGCGTCAGTTTGGGACTCGAGTAGATACTTTTAAATATCTGTTTCTGTTTCACAAAATTCCCCAACCAACTCCATTACAAAGGTTTTCTTGTGAGGGGAGAAAAGACTGGTGTCTGAAGAATAGGGGCAAAGGAAGTTGGAGGTATTTGTGTAGTAAGGGAAGAGGGGGGGGGGGAGGCAGAATGCTTAGTCTGCTGCGGGTAATGCGGGGAGGGAGAGGGGAAGGTGTTGGGGTTATAGTAGAGATTGGAGTGTCTGGATTTAGGATGGCAAAAGAATTTGACTGGGGAAGGTAAGAGGTAGAATAGGGAAGTTAGATGGAGGGATAAGTTTTCTCCACAATCTGACATTTTTTTTTGTTTTAGAGAGGGCAATTTGCTGGGGAGATAGAAACAGTTCCGGTGCAAGTATTGAAGGTTGGGTGGGGTTACCATATAGATCAGATAATACTATAGCTTGTCACAATAACATCTGAAAACCGAGACGGGAACGGCCGGGTCGGCAACAGAAAGACCTTGACAACACCCTTCTCCTCCAGCAGTCTCCAAAAAGAAAAGTAGACAAAGTAGGGAGCTGTGGGAATGATCACGAAAGATCGGTCCCATTTGGCCAGGCTACAGTATTTCAGAGACAGGGGTGTGTGGAAGAGGGGGTAGTGTTAAGGAAGACAGGGGACTATTCAAGCCTCATTGCCCACCTCTCCATATCACTGTGTTTGGTGGGGGGGGGGGGGGGAGAGGGAGACAGAAAAAGAGAAAGGAAGAGAACGAGAAAAAGAAAAGAGAGGAGACAGAGAAAGAGACAAAGAGAAAGAGAGAGGGAGAAGGGGAGGGGGAGGGGTGAGGGTGAGGGAGAGAGGGACAGGGGGAGACAGAGAAAGAGAAAGGGGGTAAGGGAGAGAGGGAGACAGAAAAAGAGAAAGGAAGAGAAAGAGAAAAAAGAGAGGAGACAGAGAAAGACACAAAGAGAAAGAAAGAGGGAGAGTGGGAGAGGAAGGAGGAGGGAGTGGGAGAGGGAGAAAGAGGGAGAAAGATGGGGGAGGGAGAGAGAGGGAGAGGGAGAGATAGGTTTACTACGTGTATTAACCTATACAGAGAGAGAGAGAGAGAGAGAGAGAGAGAGAGAGATGAGAGAGAGGAGAGAGAGGGAGAGGGAGATTGGAGAGAGAGAGGGGGGGAGGGAGGAAGAGAGGGAAGGAGAGAGGGAGAAAGAGAGGGGAGAGAGGGAGAGACAGAAAAAGAGGAAAAGAGAAAAAAAAGAAAAAAGAGAGAAAAAGAGAGAGGAAGAGAAGAGAGGGAGGGAGAGGAATAGTGGGGGGGGGGGGGAATGTTTACTGCATGGATTTACCTAGGGAGAGAGAGAGGGGAGAGGGAGATTGGAGAGAGGGGCAGGGAGGAAGAGAGGGAAGGAGAGAGGGGGGGAGGGAGAGACAGAAAAAGAGAAAAGAGAAAGAAGAAAAAGAAAAAAAGAAAAAAGAGAGAAAGAAAAGAGAGGGAGGGAGAGGGAGAAAGAGGAAGTGTGAAAAGAGAAAGAGAGAGTGGGAGAGGAATAGTGGGGGTGGAGGGAGGGAGGGAGAGAAAATGTTTACTGTATGTATTTACCTATGCATCTATTCATTTTTCTTCAATACATGTTCTTAAGCTGTCAATGTTATTTTGCCGAAAAATCTTTGCATTGCTCAGTTTTTTCCAGTGAAAGTGACTGAAAAAGGTAAATAGCAGTTGCATGTCGCTCTGCTTTCATTTTATGTGTTGCGTCCTTGTTTGCTTGCGTGCGTTGTTGTGTGCGCGTTAGGAGAGAGGAGAGAGAGAGAGGGAGGGAGTGAGAGGAGAGAGAGAGAGAGGAGAGAGAAGACGACAGGAAGAGACGACCGAGAGAGATCGATGAGAGAGAGAGAGAGAGTTTTTTTTAGAGGGGGTGGGGAGGGAGACAAGGAGAGAGGATAGAGAGATAGAGAGGGGGGAGGGAGAGGGAGAAAGGGAGGAAGACAGAGGGAGGGAGAGAAGTTTCCTGCGTGTAATTTACATATGCAGAGAGAGAGGAAAGGGGGGAGGGGGAGAGGGAGGGAGAGAGAAAGAGTGGGAGGGAGAGGGAGAGTGGGGAAGAGGGAGAGTGAGAGGAGTGGAGAGGAAAGGGAGGTAGGGGGGGAGGGGGGAGAGAGTGGGAGAGGAAATGTTTACTGCGTGTATTTACCTAGCAGGAGTGAGAGTGAAGTGAGAGAGGGAGTGGGAGAGGGAAGAGGAAGTGAGGAGGGAGAGAGGGAGATTTTACTGCGTGCATTTTACCTATGCAGAGAGGAGAGAGGGAGGGGAGGAGTAGGAGTGGGAGCAAGTAGAGTGAGTGGGAAGGGGGGAGATGGGAGTGGAGTGGGAGAGGTAGAGGAGAGAGTGGAGTGGGGGAGGGAGAGAGAGGGGGGAGGGAGAGAGGAAGAGAAAGAAAAAGAGAGAAAAGAGTGTGAGAGAGAGGGGAGAAAGGGGGGGGGAGAGAGGATGGAGAGGGAGGAGATGGGAGAAAGAGGAGGAGAGAGGGAGGGCGGAGAGGAAGAGTGAGAAAAGGGAGAGGGAGAGAGGGAGGGAGGGGAGAGTGGGAGGGAGAGAGATAGTGGGAGAGGGCGAGAGGGACAGAGAGGGAGAGGGAGAGAGGGAAAAAGGGAGATGGAGGAGAGTGGAGGAGCGGGAGAGGGAAAAGAGGGAGAGTGAGAGTGAGAGAGAGAGGAAGAGGGAGGAGATTGGAGGAGGGAGGAGAGGAGAGAGGGACGTTGACGAGAAAAATGTTTACTGCGTGTAGACCTTGCAGAGAGAGAGGAGAGAGAGAGAGAGTGGGAGGAGAGGAGAGAGTAGGAGGGGGAGAGGGAGAGGGGGAGAGAGTGGGAGAGGGAGAGGGAAAGGTGAGGGAGGGAGAGAGGAGGCAGTTACTGCGTATATTTACCTATACAGAGAGAGAGAGAAGAGAGGAGGGAGAGAGTAGGAGTGGGAGAAGTAGAGAGGGTTGGGAGGAGGGGGGGGGGAGTGGGAGTGGAAAAACTGGGAGACGAGAGGGGGAAGAAAAAAGGGAGAGAGAAGAGGAGAGAAAGGGGAGGGAGAATGGGAAGAAGAGGGAAGTGGGAGAGGGAGAGATGGGAGAGAGGGGAGAGGAAGAGTGAGGA